ATTTTCTCACCAATTTAAGAAACTAGAATATATATATATATATATATATATATGTAGTCTTATCATTTTGAGCTATCACTAATATAAAATTAGCAACTAACAACAAATACTATACCCCCCTCCCTCACCCCCAATCCTAAGCAAATGAAAAATCAACTATATGAATCCTTACTATCTATATCACTTATTTACCTCTCTTGCAATCTAATACTATATACATCTTTTACTTGCTTTACTTGGTGATTATGCCAATCAAATTAACATCTTAAACATAAAAAAAGAAAAAGAAAAAGAGACTAATTAATATTATCACTTATTAATCCTAAATTAAGAAGGGGTGGTGGGGTATTGGACTAAGTAGGATTTTGAAGGGATGGCCTTTAAGGAGACCAAAAAGTTGTCCAAAAGAATAAGTGAAGATGAAGACATCTACTATTTGTTAATAGTAAAGCCATCTGTTTTCGAAAAATGGTATCAGAGCTATGGATAACGAGAAACTAAGGAAGAAACATACTAGTAGAAAGTTACGAAAAATAAAAAGAAAATTAAAGAAATTATATCCGGAATATAAAAAACTCAATATCACAAAAACTGATAACGACAGATTAGATCAATTAATAGATAGTATATCTAAAATAGATTATAAATATATTCAATAATAAAAGAAACAATGAAAAACGAGAAAATTATTAGAACAATTAATGGCGGAAAATTTATATATGTATCAAAGAACCCAAGATATGTTATATCTAGAATATATCATAAATAATATTAAAGAAATATTCAGATTAAAACAACTATCGGAAGAATATTACAATAAATATTACTACATATTACCATGAATTTAACACTACCAAAAAATAATATTAAAGAGATATCAAGATTAGGACACTTAGTAAAAAGATATTATAATAAAATCTTTAAAATAAGTTATTCACCTACCACACTACCACCTACCACACTACTACTCCTATGACTTCCCCAACTACCAGTTGCGCATCGAAAAATGGTATCGTTTTTTAATAGTTTCCACATTTTAAGCTACAAAATAGACTCTTTTATTTTAATTTTTTTCTCATTGAAAGAACAAATGTCTTTGGCCCACGATAAAGGATAAAATTTCTATGTATAATCAGTAGCATACGCATAATTTTCAAACGATGATATTTAATTATCACATTATAAATAAGATATATTCTTAATAACGGGTCATAGCTAATTGCGCCTTAATGTTGTCTAAAACTTAATTAATACAACAATTTATCCAAAAAAAAAATGACTAAAAGAAGAAAAAACAAACTAAAAGATGAGTGAACTATTTGTCTCGAACATCTTTAATTTGAAGCTGTCAAAATTTTCAAAAAAAGGAATTACCATCTTCAAATTCCATGTACTGCTTCAAATTCAAATTTCAGGACGAAAAGGGGGAATTATCGACTTCAAGAAAAGACAACAAATTCTCGAAGTTCTATACAAATAGGAATATGAATCAGATTGACATTGAAGTTCTTGTAAATCGAATATATATTGACATAATTGTGAATAGAACAGTTGATGAAAAGACTCAGCATCCACACTTCTCCATATAATTGCTATTGCTCTACTGATTCAACTTGCTTTCGTCAATTGGAAATGTGTAGATATGTAATATATATAATGGTCTTAATCAGTATCATTTAAATAGGATATGGATTTAGCTCAAATTAACTAAGCAATTACTATCATGACATGGTTTGTGTGATTGCAAATTAAAGAATTAAAATAGTCTTTCTTTTATCTTAGTGTCCTAATGTATTTAGAAGGGTCAACCCATTTCGACAGCTCTACTTGGACCGAAGATAATCGAAAAAAGCACACCATAGTTTCATCGAAGTCAAGAAACAAGATATCAAGCTCCACACAACACAAGTAATCTTGTCCATGATGCTCACCGTTAACGCAGCAATTTCATTTTTCCAAAATAATTAGGAGAAAGTTCGGTATAAACAGATATATATTTCTATAACTTCTATCAGCTTTTACTATTTGCATTATTGCAGGCAAGCTCAGAAAAACGAGCTGTGTCACAACTCTCAACGCCTCCAAGTAATGTGTGTGATAACCTGATTCTCCACTCCCACGTCGCTTGCCAACTAAATCATGCAAGGTTTCCTGTCTAAACAATTGTGGAGCCCCGAAGAACTCAGCAGCTTTCACCTGGAATTGTCGTCATAAACAAACAGGCATTAGTGCAAAACTAAAAGATAGTCAAACAGGAATCACATCACTCACAAAACTTGGAAAACAATAGTTTTCAGGAAGGGCTGAAGGAAAGACCAGGAACAATAGTTTTCAGACAATGATTCCACGCGTCTCTTAAATTAAAAGCAAGATATAAGCTATTAGTAGTAAAATTTGTGAAAGGTTTCTTCTTAATCAAATACTCCATTAACTGATTGTTTTCTCCATGTTCGTCTCCGATGTGATAAAGAAGAAACTTTTATTTTGTGAGTTTACCTGTGCTACGATATAAATATAAACCTCCAGATAAGCATACTATTGAGAAGTTGGTTGAAAACCACTAACCTGTTGGTTTATGGACATCCTGTTTTCGAGGATTTCATCCTTCACCAATCAGAAAGCAGTATTCAGACAGTCATGATCAAGCTTCCTTCTAGAAAGGCAAATCGATCATATTCCCTCACAGCTATCCTTGAGTTATTACCACAATTTGAGCATCATTGTATCTTTGATCATCTCAAGCACGTCTGCCAGTCACTCATGATTTTTCTAATTCATTGTTTCTCCCACAACTGACAAATCCCAGACGCACATCTATATCCCGAATGTTCTGTTATACAGTTCGCCTGAATTGGACATGCGGAACTTTGGTTCCTCATATCCATTAAAGAGCTTGTTATAGCCCAGCCTTTCATTTCGGAGGAGTTCAGCCATGCCCATGTCATTTCCGCTTGGGACCCCACCATTCCAGCCATCCCACTGGCCATTTGACATCACAGAGTTCCTACCCTGGGGAAGATTGAGTTGTGAAAATGGGGAAAGATTGTTGGCCAGAGTTTGCTCCACAACCCTCGAAGAAATTCCATAAGCATCATTGAAAAAGGTATCCCTATTATCAGTGTATCTCTGATTCTGATGCAGAGAGAGAGATCTTTGCATGAGAAACTGAAGTCTTGCCTCATTTTCAAAACCACTTGGCTGAGGAGGAAAACTTGGAGACATGTCTAAACTTGAGCCTTTAAGGCCATTTTGAACCCTGCCTTTACCAACTGCCAAGATTGCAGGATCCATAAACTCAATGTCCCCATTGTTGACATTGCCAATTGATGGACATTCATTGCGCAGTAAGGAGGTGGTATCAAGCATGTGGGTACCTGGAAAATAACTGATTTGAGACACATCCAAGATTACGTCCAATAATGTAGAGAAACCAACCAACAGTTCAAAATTACTGACCAGAGAGGAAGCAAAATTATGTTCCATTTTCTCATATGCAAAGCCTGGGGGTGGGGCCCTATTTGGTTGCTGAAAACCCTGGAGGCGTAGTCATCTGAGATCTCGACACTGGAGAAATAACCAGAAAATGAGTAAGTAAGGCACTTCAAACCTTATGTTCCTTGTGGATAATTGCACTCAAACTAAATCTGAAACACTAAAAGAAACAGATAGATAAGGGGGATAGAATTAAAAAGAACAAGTGATACACTAACCTGATTGCTTATTAGAGGAGAGGTGAGAATAATTGTTGGCAAAACCATTAGATTCCTGATTATTAAATAGTGATAAACCATTGCGAGTACCAAAACTATCAAGCTGATAACTTCTGCTATTTTGAAAATCTTGATCAAAAGGGCGATGACTATAACTTCTGTCTATGTAACTTAAAGATGGACGAGAATCAGCTGATGCATTCATGGGTTCTTCCTCCCTTGCAAAAGAGTACCTTGATTGATTGCTGCTCTGTACTTTTCTTGAATTTGATACTCTAGACCCTTGTTGGTTATCAGTTTCTCCCAACAACTTAACCAAGTTCTGAGAGGCAAATGACTCTTCCATGGGTCGAAATCCATAGACAAAATATTAGATATTATATTGTTCTCTCCCCTATCTGCAGTAGTACTATGATCCGCAGTAGCAGTTCACCTTCAAACCTATTCAAGTGCATCCTCTTACTTTCATTAGACAAATAATAAGTGTCATCAGTGCTTCCCAAATATTTACCCGCACAACTGAATGGATTTTCAGGGTATCCATTACGAAGTTCTCCAATACTAGAAGGCTGTAATACTGAATCAACTCTCTGATCAAAAGTTTGCATGTTGGCTCTAATAGGTCCAACCCCATTGGCAAACTGCGAAGAATAACCCTTAAGCTGCCCTGAAGAGTGTAAAGAGATGGAAGGACTTGATGAGTGGCTTTTCTCTAAAATTACTTCAGGGTCCCTATGTCTCTGTGCATTGAAAGATAGTAAATCATCCTCCATTTCAGGAATTGTCTCGTATTCCTTGATCCTGTGTTTCCAGTCTCAAATCAGACGTTTGTCTTGAGATAATAACATCATCTGCAGAAATCACAGATTTCCCATTCGTCTGAGAAGGCGACAGCTCCCTTGATTTCTCATAGGTAGCATGTGACTTTTGTTGTTTATCAATGATAAATGATGAAAAATCTGAGCATACATTCTCCTCAACATCTGTGGCATCACAGGGATCTTTTGGTAAACTAGGTACATTGGACATCAAAGGAAGATCAAAGGTATTTGTAGCACTGGATGATGTGATCAAATGTATATCTGTGCCCTTCAAAGACGGGGTGATATCAAACTGACTGTTTATAAACGAAGAAGCAGGACGTATGGCTATATCGAGTTTTTTCAGAACTATAGGTTGCATCATCTGCTCCTACAGACTGTTTATATATATATATATATATGTGTGTGTGTATATATATATGTGTGTGTGTGTGTGTGTATATGTGTGTGTGTGTGTATGTATATATATGTACATATATTAAAAATTCTTCATAGTGCGATTTTTTTAGTGAAGCCCACGTTTTTAGTGCGCTTTAAGCTAAGCTCCATCGGGGCTTTAGAATTTTTTTGCGCTTTTTGCTTTTCACAACACTGGAAGCAGTTACCCTCATGAAGGATCCTCTGTTAACCCGAAGTGCGGGCCTTCTTAGGGTCCCTAAACCCATCATGTTCCATATACTCAGCCTCCTTGGCGGCTCCCACTATAGACTAGAAGAAATCCCCCTCATGGGATGACGTACACATCCATACGAATAGAATAGGACAACCCTCTCACAACATGTGGGTCCTCTCGGCCTTATCAGGAAGAATAGCCAAGGCATGTATGGACAATGCATAGACAAGTCTCATACTCTGCAACAGAAAGGCTATCCTGCCTTAAGCTCCCAAACCTCAATCTGCTCTCCTCCCTCACACTCCAAGGGATGAAACAGTCATAGAAGGCATGAGCAAACACATCTCATGCATGTCACTAGTGGAGATCCAGTTGGTACAGATCCCAAGTAGACTCTCCACCACTCTTTAGCCAGTCCGCACAACTAAAGTGTAGTATAACAAACCCCATAAGACTCAGCCAAACCAACTGTCTCAAGCATCTCTCGACACGTAGTCAAAAACTCACTCTTTCCACCCTAATATTGAGATGGATCCATCTTTCTGAACATATCATAGTGGCACTTCTCATCCTCAATTAATACAAGCAAAGGCGCACCTTGAATTCCAACTCCTGGTGTAGGATTGCCCTCAAACTTAGGACCACTGGTGGCTGCCCCACTGGACCTTGAACAACTGGAGCTGGATGTTGATTTGGGGTCTGAGCCCCAACCCTAGTGTGAGGAACCTACGGTGTTCCTGTTGCACTCCTACTCTGAGTGAAACTCTAGATCACGCCTAACACCCTCAACAAAGTGTCTTGAAGCAACAGTGTAGTAGCGTGCTCCAGATGAATCTGGTCCTCTCTGTCATGCCCCGAGGCTACCCCCTGGGCGCGGACACAGGACCTAGGATCACGAGTAACCCTAAGCTAACCCTGCTGGCATATCATAAGCATACTAAAGTAAACTGAAGTAAAGAATTACAGTGCGGAAGTTAATCATAAGATAATCTGAAATGATAGGGAATACCCATACTAAATCTGAATAAATGAAAACTGAGAGTATAACAACAACTGAAAAGTCAAACTCAAATACTAAAGGTGAAACTAACTATGTCTGGAAATAACCTCTAACTGACTAGAAGTGTTGGGACATGCCCCAGCTAAATCTAGCAAACTGAAACTAAAGATAAAAATGAGAAAATAATCATGTCACTAGTCCTCGAAGAATGAGGACTCACCACTGATGCTGCTGAACTGAAGATCAGGAACCGTTCTATGCCTGATCTGACTGCTAAGGACCTGAACCTACATCACAAGAAGATGTAGCGCAGAGTATGCGTCAGAACATGAAAGGTACTGAGCATGTAGGATAGAATAAAGCTGAACAATAACATAAATGAACAACCAATAAAGCAATGATATAATCTCAACATGATAAGGATATTGAAAATAATGAACATGACTAAACTGAATACAATGGCCAAGTTTATAACATGTTGAGACTGAATACTGAACTGTACTGATAACATGGTCTATGCAATAGGATCTGACTGAACTGTGGGAGCTACTAATAACTGTCATAAAACCACATGAGCTAAATGTGGAGTCCGATGTATACGCCCCATCGAGAGGACCCAATATACCCTGCCAGAGGTATAGAGGCATGCTGGCGTGATCATTAAAATGATGCCCACAGAGGGGACTTACAACCTACGGGGCACGTAGTTCTGGGACTTGAGGGTGACTGACCATAGTCTACTCGGTATTAAGCTTTTCCCAATTGATTATGTAATTAATAATTTATGACTGAATTTCTGTAATACCGGATAGCTCAAAACTGACATGCTAAGTGAAAATGCAACATTAATATGTTGATAATCAAACATTCAAATTTGAGGCATGTATATCTGATATGTCTGACCTAGCATATGTAATTCATGAACTAAACAAACTACATAGCTAGGGTTCTGAATTTATGAAAGAATATACACAAAACAATATTAAAATCATGATAATCTGAATAGAAACATTAAAGTAACTAATTCATAATAATCTGCTGAAATTTTAGAAACCCTATATCTAGATAATATGAAGGGAATCAAGAATCTGACTGAATTCTAGGGACCTAATGGGTGAAAAGAACCCATTAGTGAAATCCCACATACCTGGTGATGAATTTCACGGAAAAATCGTTTGATTTCGAGGCTGGAACTGATGGAACCTTGCTGTGTTCTTGAACTAGGGTTGCTCCACCTCTTTCTCCTCTTACGCTCTAATTTTTGTAAGTTTTGATGAATGATCTGACTTAGGTAAGTTCTAGTTATGTTTCTAGGCTAAAACTAACCAAAACCACATAGTTTAGGGTTTAAACGACGTAATCTAGGGGTCCAACGCATAAGGAAAAGACCTAAAGACCCCTGACTTAAAAGCTATCGGGGTCACCGACAGACGGGACCGATGGACCATCGATCGACTGACGGTCTGTGCTAGTCAACCGTTAATCGGGGACTGAAGCTGGATTCTGAGGGTCTGATCCACAGACACGGACCATTGTCCGTGAATTGACCTACGGTTCATGGGTCCGGTCGTGGGTCAACACTTAGCAAAATTTGTGGGGCTAAGTTTGGGGAAGGTTGCAGATGCAAACCACGGGCCACCAGAACGGGTCGTGGGTCACCCTACGGTCCGTGGGTGGCAACCGGGGGTTGCACCTGCAACTTCTGGAAATCTGCATCGAGGTTTGTTTTTAGATACGGGGTGTTACATTATCTCCCCCTTGGGAACATTCGTCCTTGAATGAAGACTAAACTAGCTGAAATGGAGGGAGAGCTGCAACCCCTACCACTAAATGCTGGAAACTGATTTCTAACTGAACTAAGTTCCAAGAACATGCAATTACGTTGAAAATTAAATGCAAATTCAACTGAAAGAACATGATGCTAAGACTAAAACTGCGAATGAATGACTGAAAAACTGAAGAGGAACTATTACCTCTAGCTGGAATGGAATCGGAAGGAAAGAGATGAGGATACTTAGACTTCATGGCTGCTTCTGCTTCCCAAGTAACTCCCTCTACGGACTGACTCCTCCATAAAACCTTGACTGAAGCGACTTCTTTGTTTCTCAACCTTCGAACCTGACGATCAAGGATTTCAACTGGTACCTCTTCATAAGTGAGACTACCCTTCACAGCCACACTTACTAAAGGTACAACAAATGCTGGATCACCCACACACTTTTTCAGCAATGAAATGTGAAAAATCGGATGCACTGC